TATCATATTTTAATTGATGAAGTGTTTCATCAAATGATGTTTCATTATTTATTGATTTAATTTCATTTAAAACAAATACTGTGTCAAGATCTTGTCCATTGATACCCTAAAAATTAAATTATTTAAAAAATTTTTTTTTTTCAAATAATAAATTTTATCCTACAATACGAAAACTTCCATATGGTAAAAATGAATGAGTAAAACAATGTAATGTATCTTTATTAAACATTTGTTCAAAACAAGATGAAAGTTTTTCAAATTTTTCTTGTTTTCTATTATATGATTGACTAGTTTCATAAAGATTCATTAGTTGAAAAAATTCTTGTAATTTTCTATCAATACAATTTAATTGTTTAGAATTTATTGGTTGAAGTACAGAACCTAATGGTAATTGATAAGCAATATGAAATGGTACTGTATCATTGTCATGTGGTCGTTGTAAAATGTAAACATATTCAACAGGAAATTCAAATGATTCATTTAAAACTAAATGAAAAATAAGTTAGAATAAATAATTTTATCTTCCGGAGGTCTTCCTCGAATGTTGATTTTACAAACAATAAAAACAAAATTTTCCTCTCATTATCAAAATTTATTAGAAACTACATTGGACAAAATTTACAGCAAAGTTTTAAAATAATAACTTCAAGTTTACAAGGATATAGAATTGTTGTTTTTCAATAATTTACCTAATGATGATTTAGCTTGATCTAGTTTTTCTTGATTATCAAATTGTGCAATTATCATAGATGGATTATAACTATATCGATTATTTTTTAAACATTGTGGAAATAATTGTATAAGTTGTTCATATAATTGTTTAACATATATTGTGGATTGTTGATTTAATTTCATAAAACTAACATTATTTTCAATAAATGAATCAATTTGATTTATTTCAATAGAAAATGATTGATATTGAGATAATAATAATCTTAATGGTAAAAGAATATTTTCTTGATCATCTTGAGAATCAATTAAATCAAAAAAAGGCCATAATAAATTAATATGTGGAGGCCATCGATTAAAAGATGGATCATATTCTTGACGATATGAATTAATTATTGACCATTGATTTATTGTTGGTAAAATAACAAGTGCTGAACGATGACTTATTGATCTTGTTCGAAAATTAATAATTAATTGTAAAGCATAATGATCAGATTGATTAATACGTTGATTATTATCATCATTATTAAATGAATCGATTGGAATTGTATCAATGCCAGTCATTGAAAGATGTTCAATTGAATAAGAAAGATTATCTAATGTATGAATTAAATATCGATCTAATCGACGATTTATTTGTGATTCTGATGTTATTTGAGCACAAATATTATTTGATGGATCAAATGTAAAACCAGGATTCTAAAACAAAAACAATCAAATAAGTAACATGATTTGTTTCCACAAGAGTAGTTTTTAGCCTTCAAAAGTCATTGATACAATCAAATATCATCTATGATTGCATGCTTATTGAATATGAATACTCGATGATCGTTATTATTCATTAATGAATTAATTAAAAGTTTGAAATCAATCGAATTTCATTTTCTATTTGACAATTATTAATAAAATTCAAATAGCTTACCTCATCAAGATCATAAATATCTTTCCATAGATCATGTATTTCATCTTCATATGTTCCAAGAAGATTTTGTTCTTTTACATGACAATCTCCAAAATTAAAATCACCAATAAGCATATAATTATTTATTTTCATTTTTTTAAATAGATTTTCTAATGTTTGACAACGTTTTTCACTTGAATTACGAGAACGATCACTATGTAAATGAAGATTAACAAGATCAATTGTTGTTTTAGTATTTAAATCAAATCGAGCTATGATTAATTCTTTTGTTGTTGTTGTTTTATCATCATCAGATAGATCAAGTGGACATATTGAAAATGATCTTGGTCGAAAATTTTTCATAATCATCAATTGTCCATATGATTTATTTTGTTGACTATTAAGAACATTTTTCATAATAATAATATAATAATTATTTTCTTGTAACCATATTTCATTTAAAAGAAGATTAAGAAAATCAATAGTTACTTCTTGTAAACAAATTATATCAGGTAAAAGTGTTTTAAATGTATTGAGTATTGAACGATATCTTTGAGATGTATAAATAAGTGTTGGTTGATAATAATCAAATAAAATATTCCATGTTATAAAATGACATCGTTGAGGAAGATATGTTTCATTTGTTGAGGAAATTTTTGAATCATCTGATATCAATGATATATGTGGACATTCAATCCATTGTTGAAGAGATTGATCAAAACGATAGAGTCCTTGCACAAGAGTAGATCTTTGTTCGTTATCTATGAATAGGGAAGAAGAAAATAGAATCGATACTGACAATAGAAAATTGTCTACTGTAAGTTTAAGAGATTGATCATATTCAGGTCAAATGGATGCTCTCACTATCAAACTAACTAATTTAAAATATGAGATGTTTATAGCGTGTACACAGATCGTGATATCCAAACTTAAGTATATGGACTATATTTAAAGCAGACAAATTTTAACCATTTGAATATCATGGTCCGTCTTACTGACAGTATATGACCTTCTATTGTCAGACAAAAGACTTTTTTAAGCTCTCGAAGAATTATTAGGAAAAACTAACCATCAGTTTCCTAATCAACTTAAGCTAATACATTTCGTTTTCATCAATATTTTAAAATCTAAACATTTATCAAGATTCATTCCCTCAAAAATCGGTCTGATGTCAAGTAGATTCAAGTTGTTGTGAAATTTTCAGCCCTGTATTATGAGATTTCCGCTCATTTAGCAACCGAAAATTCTCAGTTAGTTCTTATTCTACTTATTATTTGACGGCCTCTTAACAAAAGGGTCCTATCAGGCGGTGCGGAAATCATCACAAATTTTGACAAAAGAAATTAGATGCCAAATGAAAAAACAAATATATGATGATTCCTATTCCTCAGATGTTGGAAAATCTTCTTAAATTCGTCGATTATTTCAATCCTCTAATTTACTATCAAATGTAAAAGATTTTCTTTCATACCATCGGATATTCCACTTAGTAATTGATCACTACCCGTTAGTATATCTAACTTTTTCGTTCGATCCCATACAATACGACCACTAATTTTAAAATATCGAACACGATGCATTGGAACCCCATACTAAACAAGAAAAAAGAGCAAGGTGGGATATTTCGTTGCTGCATTTAATAATTATTATATTACTTCAGATTTATCAATTTTTTTAAATTCATTAAATGAAATTTCATGCATGCCTGTAAAACGATCTTCATAACCAATTATAACTTGTGATCGATCAATTGTTTTATCATGTAATATTCGATTAAATATTAAATCACTACCACGAAATTTATTTGTTGTTGTTGAAATTTCTTCTGTTGATGTAGTTTCTGTTGATTTTTTTGTTTTAGATTTTGATTTTTGATTTTTGATTGTTATTTTTAATAAATAATCTTGAATTAATTGAATAATTGATTGAAGTGATGTTGATTCATTTGATTTTTGAATAAGTTCATCAAAATATTTACGAATATCTGTCCATTGATCATTATTTAATGAACATTTACTTGATGATTTATTAATTCGTAAATCATGTAAATTATTAATAGTTAATAATTTGTTTATATTATTAAGTGCATCAAAGAAAAAACTTATTTGTATATCATGATCAAGGTTAATTCGAACTTGTTCATAATCTCCTGATGTATGAATTTGAAGATGATCATCTGAACGTAAAATTGAACGAAGAGAATTTAATTGATCTGTAATTGTTGTTGTATT